TATTGTTGACAAGGCACACCTATGTTGAGGACACCAATGCCTCAACTCCGTAGGACTAGCAAAGCTTTACCCAGGAGAAGTTCAAGGGAGATGACACAGTTTCTTTAGGAGTCTGAATGTGATTTAGTGACCAGTGTGTGAAAAGGTTAGCAACTACAGTACCTTCTTCCTGATATTTACGGCCGGAGACGGCTCAACTACAGCTATCGTGGAGAGTAGCCAGCCCCTACCCCTGTGCAATACCTAATAAACAGCTGAGGTTCCAGGTTGCTGGTGATTGTAAGTGCCCTCCATTAGAGTGACCATTCCCTACTTAACCATGTGTCTGTATATCTGTCTTTTCTTGGTACCCTCACCACCCTGTTGTGGAATATTACTTTACGTAAAGGTGTGTTGTAATTGTTGATGCTCTATTTGTTTGATTCTGTAAAGGGGTGTTGTATTTGTTTATGCTGAATTTGTTTTAATTAAGTAAAGATGTATTGCTGTTTTACTTCGCCTGCCTAAGGCGTCTGATTGGTCTAATAAAAAGCTGAATGGCAGTTCCAGGACAGCCTCCAAAGCCACAGAGAAACCCTGTCTCGAAAAACCAAAAAAAAAAAAAAAAAAAAAAAAAAAAAAAGCTGAATGGCTAATAGCTAGACACTAGAGGAATAGACTGGGGTGGCAGGCAGAAAGAATAAGTAGGAGAGAAGAGAACAAGAAAAGAGGAGAGAATGAGGGGGTAAAGAGGAGACATCTGGGGCTGGCTAGGCTGCCAGCCAGTCAGTCAGCCACCAGCTAGTCAGACCCCAAGTAAAACAGAAGGAAAGAAAAGTAAAGCAAAAAGCCCTGAGGTAAAACGTACATGAAGAGAAACAGGTTAAGTGATAAGAGTTAGCAAAAAACAAGCATAAGCTAAGGCCCAGTGCTCATAACTAATAAGTCTCTGTGTCGTGATTTGGGAGCTGGTTGGTGGCCCAAAAGAAAACCTGTTACACCACCCCTAGTCAGGATTCTAGGATCCAAGTCACACAGGTCTTGGTAAACCACACACTTAGGCAGTCTCAGAAAAAGACTGTCTCTTAATGAAATTCCAAGAATAGATTTGCTGCTTTTGGGGCATGGTCTCATATAACCCAGCCTGGCCTCTCAGTGGAGATGTCATTGAACTACTGATCTTCCCGCCACTGTTACACACACTCACACACTCACTCACACACACTCTCGCACACTCACACACGCTCACACATACTCAGAATATGGTGGCACAAGCCTGTAATACCAACCCTTGGGAGGCTGAGGCCATGGGATCCCAAGTTGAAGACCAAGCTAAGCTGCTAGGTGACTTTCAGACCAGCCTGAGCTACAATGGAAGAACTGAGTCTTTTATTTAGTGTCTATTTATTTATTTTTACTTTAGATATATTTTATTCATGTGCATGTACATTTACTGCATATGTCCCTGTGCTTGCTGAGGCCAGAAGACTGTGATAGATTTAGCGGAGATGGAATTGCAGCGCTTGTGAGCAGTCAGATCAGCCCTGGGTTCTGGGAATGTAGCCAACTGCTCTCAACCATTGATCGAGCTATCTATCTATCTATCTATCTATCTTTATTTATCAATCATCTATCTCTATCTACCTATCATCTATCTATCTATATCTATCTATTTATCTTCTATCAACTATCTCTACCTATCATCCATCTATCTATCATCTATCTATCTATCTGTCTATCTATCTATCGCCTATCTATCCATCCATCATCCATCTATCAATCTATCTATCATCTATCAACCAATCAATCAGTCTAATTAGTTGAAGTGGGTGTCACATTAAACTTGTACTTCCTATGTAGCTGAGGTTACCTTGAATCCCTTATCCTCTGTGTCTACTTCCAGAGTGCTGAGATTACCAGAGAATGCCATTACACTTAGCTTCAAAACGACATCAACAAAACCAAAATAAAAAACAAGTAATAAGAAGGGCTGATGGCAGAGCTTAGTGGTGGGTGCTTGCCTAGTATGCGCAGGGCCCGGGGCTCAAACCCTAGTGTTGTAATGAATGAATTGATTAATCAATTATAGAATAAAAATTAAAATGAAGCTAAATATCTGAACTCAGTGCTATCCAGCAATATGACTGGTGATCACTATATCAATAAACTGACTTTCAAAACTCTTCCATATTTTATGTCTCCTTTAGAGGATTGTAGGAGGCTTGGGCTAGCTCCCAAATGATGGCAAGCAGACTTCTCATTAGTTATGAATGCTTGGCTTTATCTTACGCTTGTCTCACCAGCTCTTATAACTTAACCTGTTTCTCTCCATCTGTGTTTTGCCTTGGGGCTCTTTACCTTTCCTTCATTCTGTATGTCTTACTCCATGTCTGACTGGCTGGAGGCTGCCTGCTGACTGGCCCCAGGTTGTCTCTCTCTTTCTCTCCTCTTCTCTCATTCTCTTCTCCTGCTTACTCTCTCTACCCACCAGCCCAGCCTATCTCCCATACAGCCTAGGTATTGGCCGGTCAGCTTTTTATTAGACCAATCAGGTGCCTTAGGCAAGCAAGGTAAACCAGCAACGGACCTTTACATAATTAATCAAATGCAGCATAAATGTAAAACATCTTTACATAGTTAAAGTAATATTTAAAACATTGAAAAAAAACATTGACTATATTTCATGTTATCATTTTTCCTGTAATATTTTTGTTTATACAAGGCATGTATATCCATCCAGGGTTAGGGGAGTGTACCTGTAATTCCAACGCTTAAGAGGCAATATGAGGAGAGAGGCCAGTGCAGTTTACATAGCTTCCAAGTCAGCTGGGACTTTATAGTAGAAAAACAATAAAGGATGGTAAATGGCAGCCAGACAGTCTATGGCAGAGTGGACACACAGTCAGATGCTTGGCAGTAGGGTGGGTGAGTTGAGCTGAAGGTGAGAGAATGTTCTTGTCTTTCTGGCGCACACTCTTGGAACTGTTCTAAAATCTGTTCCTATGCATTGGTTTCTATACCACAAACCACTGTGTCCTCCCCAGAGCCATGACTAAAGACTGAGAAAACCAACCGGGAGGTGGTGGCGCCTGTCTTTAACCCCAGCACTGAGAGGCAGAGGCAGGCGGATCTCTATGAGTTTGAGGCCAGCCTGGTCTACAGAGTGAGTCCCAGGACAGCCTTCAAAACTACAGAGAAACCCTATCTCAAAAAACCAAAAGACTGAGAAAACAGCTCTTGTTTTACAAATTTGTGGTTCTGAGTGTCTGGGTTTTGCTTCTTCATTAAGTCCACACACAAATGTTGGCTTCCAGTGTGTGGGGACTTCTGTTGCCTCCGCAGATCCTTTTCTTACATTCAGCAGCACGCACCCTTCAGCCCTCATTCATGAAGTCCATTTGGAAGACGAGAAATGTCAGGAGTGCGCTCTCTGTGGGAGCAAACAGACCCGCACATTGTGACTTCTCAAGAACAGCCATGCGTTTCCTCTGGGCTTGTTTTCAGTCCCATTGTCAGACGATTACATGGTCTTTCATAATTTCTCATCTACAGAATGGAGCTATTTGCTTGTGGATTTATTTGAAAGACACAGGCTTATGCAAAAGAAAAACACAATCATGGTGAGGTACAATGATATTTCTGGTTAGCTTTTTTTCAGCTTCCCTTTTTTTTTTTTTTAAACACACCAAGTGAAAATAATTTGTAATAGTGAATCTTCAGAGATGTGAAACAAGTAAATATCTCAGTAATTCCATCTTGATGGTATGCATGCATTTGTTATTCATGTAACTATACTTATTAATAGTTTCATTTATTTTTATGTGATAAGAATGCTCCTACATGCCTTTTGCTTTCAGAGCTCATGGGGAACATCACTTCATCCTGGCAGTATTCCCTTTAGTGTTGTGAGGCAATATGTGTGGTTTACAGGATGCCCTCACCTGCCTCAGGCCTCACTTCCTTGCAATGCTCCTGAAATCTGGAAGAAGTCAAAGGGCTTTGGGCACCCTGACAACGCACCCCTAACCCTGTGTGCGTCCTTCTCTGCCCGTTAGACTTTAGTTTGCTCATTTGCGGTCTCTACTCAAGGTCACCTTGTTTTTGACGCTTTCCCCAAGAAAATTAAGTGACCTCATCACTACAGTATAAAAACAATTTTCTGGGGCTGGAGAGACTGCTCAGTGGTTAAAAGCACTGGCTGCTCTTGCAGAGGACCGGGGTTCAGTTCCCAGCACCCACATGGCAGCTCATAATTCTGCGACTCCAGTTCCAGGGGATCTGAACCTTTATACCAATGCACATATAACAAAAGTTAAACATTTTTTTTTTCAACAAGTGAGAGGGCTCCGCAGGTAAAAACCACGCATGCCTGGAGTCTGAGTTCAATCCTTGAAACCAACATTAAAAAAAGAAAAAGCCAAATGTATGTGTGTTGGTAGTTGTGGTGGCTGTGGCAAGTCTGTAGTCTGTCCTCCTGGCATTCCTACAGAGGTGGAAGGTGGAGACAGTACAGCTATCCTGGAGTACAACATAACAGAAATAAGAAATTCTGACCCGACAAGGTGGAAAAAGGAAGCCATCTGCTCGAAGTTGCCCTCTGACCTGAGCTTGCTCACATTCCCATACAGTATACGAGCAATAATTCAAATTTTCAAGCCAGGTGGTGGTCCTGTGCGTCTTTAACCCCAGCACTCCAGAGGCAGAGGCAGGTGGATCTCTGTGAGTTCTCAGCCAGTCTGGACTACAGAGGAAGTTCCAGGACAGCCAACAAAACCTTGACTTAAAAAAAACTTTTTTTTTCATGGAAAATTGAAATTCTAGTTCTTTAAAAAAATTCATATAGCACATTCATGTAACATTGTTATAAAAATCTGCTAGTCTGGCTAAGTCCCAAATGAAAGTTAAAAAAAAGTATAAAAGAGTATTTTGTGGTCTTCATGTCAGAATATGCAGACATCCCAGATGCCTGCAAAGCATCACACAGGGCGAGTTGCTTATTCATTGTTTTGTGTTTTATACAGGTCCTGCCTGGAACACTGACTGGCATCAACAATTTCTCATTGAGATGCTTCTTGGCCATTTTGGGTAGAATTCATTTGCCAGTAAGGATGAGTCTCACTCTTCTGCTGGGACCAGCCCATGGCCTCCTCTTTGCTGATGATGTATTTGGCTCAACTCAACTGTGTTTCTCGTCCTCTGTGTTGAATCCTGGCCTATTCAGCACCATATAGAATCCAGGTCATAGATCCCAATGCTTGGGTTGTATTTGATACTCAGATCAATATGTTGTTCCTGGATTCCAAACCCACAGTTTGCAGCCCGTGGGCAAAATTGCCCTCCTTCTTCTTCCCAGCTGTGCTGTCAAAGGCCAGAGTTCATCTTGTATCTACTGAGAACAGTTCCATGCCTAGGAAACAGTGATGCTAAATAAATCTGATGAATAAGTATTTGAATTCATAGACATTCCCATGGGAGACAGCATAGGCAAAAACAAATGAAAAATACTCTCTGATTTTTGAACCATCTGGCCTGGCTTTCCACCCCTGGGTTCCAGCTAACACAGTGAAAAGCAACAATAACAACCACAGTAGATTAATTATCAGTAAACTAAACTGAGGAAACAAATCAACAAGATAGTGCTATTGCCAGGGGTGGTGGCACCTGTCTATAATCTTAGAGCCCGGAAGGTAGAGGCAAATGGATCATGAGTTCAAGGTCATCTCTAGTTACACAGTGAATTCTAGCTTCATAACCTACACAAGCCGAGTGTGCACTCTCATATGTGTGTATGTGCAGCAGACACACATACACACACCACAGATACATTTAAATGTAGGTTCTGCATATGACAGAAAACACGCTGTGTTTGCCTTTCTGAGTCTGGTTTATTGCACTTAACATAATGATCCCCAGTGACATCTATTTTCCTCCAAATGTCATCACTTAATTTTTTTAATGGCCGAGTACAATTCCTTTGTGTATATGTGGCCCATTTTCCTTATCCAGCACTTTTTTCTCTTCTCCTTTCTTAAATTACATTTAGCATGTAGGATGGTATTGGGCCGTGTGTACCATCTCATGCATGCAGAGCTTCTGGGACCGCCTTTGTTTTCCTGATAGTCATTCTGAACCGGTGAGATGCAATCAGTTTAGATTTGCATTTCCCTTATAGCTAAGGGTGCTGGGCTCTGAATTTCACTGCTTCAAGTCCTCAGGTCAAGTCCTTGGCTTTGGTCCATAAGTTTGTTAGGTGATTTGAGGATTTCCTTGTTTGTTTTGTTTTGAATGTGTGTACGTATTTAGTTTTTGCAGTTCTTCATACACTGTGCATATTAATCCCCCATAGGGATGCGCAGGAAATACCATATATTTGTAAACTCAACCTAAGGGAAAAAAATCGTATTTCATTATAAATCACAGGCAAACTAACTTGCTGTCTGGGTTGAAGGAGATTTTAAGACTGGGCATTCATTTATTTGTACAAGAGATTGAACCCTGCACCCCATGTATACCAGTGAAACACTGTACCATTGAGCTCTCTGCCCTGCAGTTTTTGTTTTGAGGTAGTATATATAATAACTACATTGGTTGGACTGTCCCTGGATTTCTGTAGTTCAACGATCAGGGTTAAAGGTTAACCTCAGCTACAAAGCAAGTTTGAAGTCATTCTCAGCTACATAAGAAGACCTGTCCCAAGATATACAGCCAAACTAGATTGAAATAAAATAAAATAATAGAATTCAAAAGTGGGGAAGCTCATAGCAGTCCAGCAGGCAGCTGGCAGCAATGGCCCCGATTTCAGTCTCCAACACACAGGCACATTCGTGAATGCACTCCATACTCTCACCTAGATAAACCAACCACAAAAAATTCATTCACAGCTCATTTTTTGTAAAATAAAGGCAAATTGAGTTACTGTTGTTGTCATTTATTGAGACAGTATCTGACTCTGTAGTCCTGGCTGGTATGGAACTCATGGCAATCCTCCTGTGTCAGCTTCTGAATTGTTGGTAGTATAGGCGTGAAACTCACGTCTGGTTGAGTTTCTCATCAGTTTTGTTTTTGTTTAAAACTTTTTTTTTAATTTGGATGTGGTGGTACACCATTAAGCCTAGCATTTGGGAGGCAGAGGTAGGTGGATCTCTGTGAATTTTAAATCAGCCTGGTCTACAGAGTGAGTTCCAGGCCAGTTAGGGCTGCAGAGAGAGATCCTATCTCAAACAAAGTATTTTTCCTATTTTTTTGGTGTGTGTGTGTTTGGTATTTGTGTGTGTGTGTATGTGTGCATGCACACATGTGTGGATTGTATGTGTGGTGTGTATTTGTGTGTGTGTGGTATGTGTGGAGTGTGTGTGTGTGTCTTTGGTGTGTATTTGTGTGTGTATATGATGTGTATGTGGTGTGTATTTGTGTGTGTATGATATGTGTGTATGTGTATGGTGTGTGAGTGTATGGTGTGTGGTATGTATATATGGGGTGTGTGTGGTGTGTGTGTGGTGTGTGTGTGGTGTGTATTTGTGTGTGTGTGTGGTATGTGTGGAGTGTGTGTGTGTGTCTTTGGTGTGTATTTGTGTGTATGATGTGTGTGTGGTGTGTATTTGTGTATGTATATGTGTGTATGTGTATGGTGTGTGTGTGGTGTGTATTTGTGTGTGTGATATATGTGTACGGTGTGTGTGTGAGTGTATGGTGTGTGGTATGAATATATGGTGTGTGTGTGTGTGTGTGTGTGTGTGTGTGTGTGGTGTGTGTGTTGGGAGCATGTACTACAGTGGGATTGTGAAAGCCTGAGGACAACTTACAGATGTTGGTTCTCTCCTTCTACCATCTGGGGCTTGGGGTTTGAGCTCAGTTTGTCAGGCTTGTGGGCAATGAACCATTTCGATGGTGCTTCTCTTGTCTTTTTCAGAAAGAATTTTGAATTTTGCTGTTGTCCTCCTGCATCTGGCCTCCTGAGTGCTGGGATTACAGGTGTTCACAAGCATGCCCATTTGGAAAATGAGTCATTCAATGATGATAGTTTCAACAACTTTTTGTTTTTATCAAGGACAAGAGGAGAGTGTGGCAATGGTGGCACACGCCTTTAACCCCAGCACTTGGGAGGCAAAGGCAGACAGCTCTCTGTGAGTCTGAGGCCAGCCTCGTCTACGGAGTGAGTTCCAGGACAGCCAAAGCTACTAGAAAAACCCTGTCTCAAAAGCAAAAAAAAAAAAAAAAAAAAAAAAAAACCCAAAAACAAAACAAGAAGAGCTCTGAGGTCCACAACATAAAAGCCAACAAGGAGTGTTTAGATGGAAATGCTGCTGTTTTGCTTTGGACATTGGACATTGTTTGACTAGCACATTATATCTCATAAGTATATACATTTTTAAAAATTTGCTTATTTTTGTTGTATTTACATTGGTGTTTTGCCATGGGTGTCTAGTCCCCTGGAACTGGAGTTACAGAAAGTTGTTACAGAAAGCCATGTGGGATCTGGGAATTGAACCTGGGTACTATGGAAGAGCAGTCAGTGCTTTTAACCAGAGTCATTTCTCCAGCCCCAAGAATAAATGATTTAAAAGTAAGACATTTGTGCTAGAGTGGTAGCTCAGCATTGAGAGCCCATACTGCTCTGCAGAATATCCAAGTTTAGTCCCCAGCACTCCTGTGGGACAGCTCCTGCTCCAGGGAACTCTGTTTATGCACACAAATCCATATGCAGACATATAACCATAGTTAAGAAAATATTTAAGAGTGAAGCAGTGGTGGTGCATAGTCCCAGCACTCTGGAGGCAGAGATAGGCAGATCTCTGAGTTTGAGGCCAGTCTGGTCTACAGAGATACAGAGGGAGTTCCAGGACAGACAAGGCTACACAGAGAAACCCTGGCCCGAAAAACAAGAAAGGAAGGAAGGAAGGAAAGAAGGAAGGAAGGAAATTTAAATTTAAGAGTATAATTTATTAAAACATTAAGAGCACAATATTTGAAGAGATAGAAACTTCTTTTCTTCTAGTTTAGCTTTTTGGGTCTCTTTGAGGCAGTTTTTCATGTAGCAAGAACTGGCTGGCTATACAGCTGGAGATGACCTTGAACTGTTGATCCTCCGGGGTAACGGGAGTGTTGCCATGCCTAGTTCATGCCGTGCTGGGGTAAAACCTGGGGCTTGCTGCTTGCTAGGCCTCACAGACAGGGCCGGAAGCCTCATTTATCTTTAGCTGCTGAATCATTGCCTCAGGTAGGCCTGAATATCTCGGGAGAGGACACTCTTCAGAGGACACTCAGAAGTGCTGTGCTCTACACCACGTGGCTGAACAGGTGGGACTTTAATTTACAGATGTAACTGGCAAACAAGATTCAGACCATCTCTGTCAGGCTGACTCGGAGAATAGTACCCCCTCAGGTACTTTAATCTCTACTAAAATCATTCCTTGAGTGCTAGTTCGAATGCATGGCTGTCTGGTCACCATAGCTGCCTTCAAGGAGAACCGTGGAGGGGGGTCTTCCAATCATCCCTGACAGAGCTGTGTGTGGCGGTGCAATCCCAGGTTGTGGGACGCTCCTTGTAGGCACTGGCAGTTTGGGAGGCTCTCTGTTCATTGTCTCTGCCTGCCAAGAGTGCAAGCTTTAGCTTGCTTATTCTTTCCCTCTCCAAGAAAGGGGAGGGGGGAACGTTCCTTAACACCGTTGCTGGGTTAATACTGCAGGAAGGAGTCAGCACACACCTTACACAATCCAATCCCTACTTGCATAATCTATGACAGGAAAGGGAGAGTGACATTTGCACCTAATCCTCGACGGGATCATGGCTGAGATGGCAAACAGCAGAAGAAACTCATGCACTGGCCTGTGGGTACTCAGAGCAAGTAAAACTCATCTGTCAGCTACTGTAAGAGCAGTGCTTCTCAACCTTCCAAACCCTGTGACCTTTAATACAGTTCCTCATGCTGCAGTGACCCCAACCATAGAATTCTTTCATCACTACTTCCTAACCGTACTTTTGCTATTGTTATCAGTCATAATGTAAATATCTGATATGCAGGGCATCTGACATGTGACCCCTGGGGGGGTCTTGGCCCACAGGTTGAGAATCACTGTCTTACTGGGTAAAAGACTGCTGAACAAGCCTGCTGTCCTGAGTTCAATTCCTGGGACCCACATAAAGATGGAGGGGGGAGGGATGGCTGGAGAGATGGCTCAGTAGTTAAGAGCTTTGGCTGCTCTTCCAGAGGATCTGGGTTCAATTCCCAGCACCCACATGGCAGCTCACAACTGTCTGTAACTCCAGTTCTAGGGGATCTGACACCTTCACACCGTTACACATAAAATAAATTTAAATAAGTTATTAAAAAAAAGAGACAGAAGTAGGGAACAAACCTACTCTATAGAGCTGTCCTTCGACCCTCCCCCACCTGCCATGCTATTCACACACACAGTACACCACACAATACAATAATAACTTTTATATGTGTGTATACATGTATTTGTAAAGTAATACACATGTAATTATTTATAAAGAACCGTTTAGCTGTTATAATCCTTAAAGGGAAACAGTCAGCAACATAAACACTGTAAAGTTGGAACTCTAGGCATGAGGGCCCAGGGAGGGTGAAGAGAGGTGGGGGGGTTGAGGCAGATGGTCTGAGGGCTGGAAGCATAAGCTGTGGCAGAGTAGAGTCTTGCTTGCTTTAGCCTAGAAACAGGCTGCTCTGTTGACACCTGTCACATCACGCAGGTGGCACTTCCTTGTTCCTTATTCAGAGGAAGGGCAGAGCCTGCATGAAAGCTTGTGGAGGTGAAGAACTGGCACTTACTGTAGCCTTGCGTGCGCCATGGGTGAACTGCTGATGGGTGCCCTCTTTTGCATTGTATTCCAATAACAATTGGAGATCTCATGGGAGAAGCTGCTTCTTGCGGTGGATGGTAGTTAACCCAGAGACCCACATGGACAGTGTGCAGAGTGAGAGACCTTGGAGCACCCAGTCCTAAATGAGATAAATGCCTTCATCAAATCCCTCCCACCTCAAGGCTCTGCAGAGGAGGAGATGCAAATACTTGATGGGTGGCTCTAAGGACACAGTCTTCCAGATACATTAGGCCTGATGCACACACGAACTCTGAGACAATGATGGTATGCACAGGGCCTGCTCAGGTTCAAGCCAGATGAGCTCTCAGCACAAAAAGAATGGGAAATGAGTCTCTAAGTCCCATCCCTAGGTAAAAAAGTATCTGCAGCTGACAGCTGCAGAGAGTGAAAATCAGTTTTCTTTGGTGGAGTGACACTGTACATCCGCCACACCCCAGGGTACACCCCATGTGCAGGAGTAGCTGGTTATCTCAGAATGGACTCCATGTGTTTGTTTTGGTTTGCTTTTCTTTGGGTATATATGTCTTCTTCTTGTTCCTCCCCTCCTCCTCCTCCTCCTCCTCCTCCTCCTCCTTCTTCTTCGTGTTTTTTCAAGACAGGGTTTCTCTGTGTAGCCATGGCTGTCCTGGAACTCACTCTGTAGACCAGGTTAGCCTTAAACTTCCAGAGATCCACCTGCTTCTGCCTCCTGAGTGCCAAAATCAAAGGCATGGGCTACCGCCATCAGGCTTGCCTGCCTACTTGCCTTCCTGCCTGCCTTCCTTCCCCCTCTCCCTCCCTCCCTCTTTGCCTCCCTCCTTCCTTCATTCTTTCCTTAGGAGAGAGAAATAATATAAAGTTGTGTTAGCTGTGGAGGAAGGTTTGTTTTGTTTTATTTGTGTGTGTGTGTGGTTTTTTGTTTTGTTTTGTTTTTTCGAGACGGGGTTTCTCTGTATTGTTTTTGGAGAGTGTCCTTTGTTTCTGTTTTTAAGAGAGAGAAAAATATGGAGTTGGGTCAATGGGGGTGGAAGGGATATGGGAGGGGACAGAATATAACCAAAATATTTTATATGAAAAAATAAAATAAATAG